ATCAAGAATAATTCCGCAGATATCGGACCTTAAAGCAAACATTTGATACCTGTGACAAAGTACAACATATTTTTTGTAGTTTGAGCAGTATTACATAGGTTACTATGCCTGATTAATTTGTGATTTTATGACTTATGCTGAAGTTCCAAAAAAATAAAGTGAGAGAGCTCTCTGCGCATAGCATTATGGGATATATCAGCCTCTTGTGAGGCTTTATTTTCTTCTCATACGATTCGTAGACACTTTTTCTTTTACGAACCTCGACCATTTTCAAAGAACTGTGGTGAGAAAGGTGAGCATTAATGACTGTCTGAAACTGTAGCTCACCACAGATATCCGCCTGAAAGTGTGTATGTGCAGTACAAGATAGCTAACAGGACAAACACGTAGGAACACCTTACATAAACATATCACCAGAATGATTGACAATTAGAAGGACCACTTATTTAGATGATCCACCCGTAAATAAAAGATTGTCCTTTATACCTTTAAGTATTAGCTTCACTCATCTTATCACTAACTCTAATGTGCTTGCTTATGGTTGCTCAGTGGTGCTGATTTACTGCAGGGTTAGTATATTTTTGGATTGGTTTGTGTAGCACACACCATTTTGCATGTAGGAAAGTTGAACTTTAATTTTATGTAATAAGAACACTTTCTTCCACAAGTTTGCTGTAACATGGCTTTGTTATACAAAAGTGTAGCAGTGTCTGTCTCTCCTCTTATACAGTTTCAATCTCACAAAGTGGAGATTGCATACCTAAAACTATAGCTGTCTTATTGGCAGATTATTGCAACTGAGTTGTGGGTCTCTGCAGAGGTACTATAAATATCTTTGTTGCTTATCTCAATAATCCTCTCCTTTCCTGAATTTTTAGTTTAGGTGGAGGACCATGCCATGGTAGTTCTGCAGTCATAAAATACTTTTACAACTTCTGGATTATGGATTGAAAAGTGTTCCTGCTTAAAACTTCTTCACAGCTTTATCTATGAGTCTGGTGTGTTTATTAGTTTGAAAATGGCAGCTATTTATTGTTGTTGCCTGTTGGACCTTCCAGCGATTAACAATACAGTCATATTGTATCATGGAACAATCATAGTTCAGTGAAGTTATTTCTCCAGTGGAAGGTTGTGGGTTGAATTTCAGTCTTCCCCTGTGGCAGGGAGACACCGAAGCTGAACTCTGATGCCCTCTGTACTTTCTAAAGGTTCTTTTTCCCCAATAAAACCTTGTTTAAACTAAACTGCATTGTGTTTGTCTATCTCATAAATGCAAATGATTCTCATTCTCAAGGTCTGTGCTTATAGTTTCACAACATGTGAAATATTGATTACCTTTGAAAGACACTGTATTATTCCCAGTTTTGCATCTACTAAGTTGTTATTAATACACTATTTTATATTAGCAGCAGTGCCATCTGTGATTTAAACATTGGCTGTGTAATTTGCATCTTTTTGGCTTAGTTTAGTTGAGCACTAAACCAGCGTGAGCATGCATATTAAAAACTGGATAAGATTTCACTAATATATACATATTAAAATATATATTCAAATGTCTACTGATTCAAACATTAGAACAGTTTTATCTCATTTCTGTGTTTGGATGAAAGAAAATTAGCATTTAGATTTATTTAATTGACCAAAAGCTGGGTTTCACTTATATCCTTTGCCATATTTAGCTGATTTAATAGAACATTTTTGATGTTTTAAACCCTAAGCCTGAAGAATTTATGACTTTTAAAATTTACACTGAATAAAATATGAATTATCACAACAAGTCAGTCATCATTTAGTCATTTAAAGGGTTAATTCATACATATGCTACAAAACAAGGTGATTTTTATGTAAAACCACCAATGTTTTCTTCAAAGGTTGCTTTTCTTACAGTACCTACAAGTAGCAGGACTGTGTCTTTTTTTTCCTGTGCGATTTAGATTAACATTGTTGTTTACTTAGTTTTAGCAGAACTTCCACTGAAACACATTAACAATTAATGAGCTGGAACATGCAATGCAACAGGTGCTCACTGCGTCACAGCAACCTTGTTTGTTTGTGTGATCACTCGAAGTCAAGCTTCACTACATGATAACACAGTGCTGCATTGGCTAATGAGAGGAGAAGCCTGGAGGCTTATTTAAGAGTAGCACTCAAGGGGGGTGGCTACCATACTGTTGGTTGACTTGAAAGGAAATTAACTGATCTGAAATTATAATCAGTGGAAAAAATATGTTTTTACAAATTCAAAGAGCCTGCAACAACCAGATATGTTCAAAGCTGCTTTTGGGTCAGTTCTCTTTTTGTTTTGTTTTTTTCCAGGCACACACTTATTATTCTGCTTCTTTATCTGCCCATATCCTCATTCAACACCCTCTCCCTCTCTCCGGGACAGCAGATGGAAACTATGGCCCAGTTCTGCCTTTTGTTCAAGGTCCCTTGAGAGATCGTTTTGGACAGCACACAATCCTGCTCATACAAACTGCAAGTGTCTGTCTTTTTATTAAAATTTAAGCAAAGGAATGCATGCGTTCTGGACAGGACTATTGAAATAAGAGTTGCTACAGTGACTTCAAATGTTTTGAATTAACTTCTTTCTAAACTACACCTGAAGTTTTTCTTAAAAAAAAAAAAAAAAAAAGTTATTAATGTTTACTCAGCATGAATGATACAGCTCATTATCAATTGCAGTGAATGAAAAACCAAAGTTCTTTTTCAAAGAAAACACAAATATTTTAAAAGATGCATAGAAAGAAAATTAATTTTAATCAACAATGATTAATTTCCACCTGAAAAGAGGACGTTGGATGATTGAGCAACAGTCCAATTACAGTATGTTTCTCTTTAGCTGCCTCTGGTTCAAACAAAACCTTGCAACAGCTGTGGCCCATCTCCTACAGAAGATACCTGTGTTTAATGGAAGATTATGAATCTTCCCAAATGTCATGAATGCACTTTGCTTTCAAGTTTTCTCTTTGCCTATCCTTATTGTTGTTGATATGTTTATTCCACACTTTTTTCCTCCACTTAACTTTCCAATATTATATTTTCATGCAGCACTCAGTAGTTTTTTAAATGACCCTTTTTCTATGGAGGCCATTAATGACTGTCTACTTGAGGGCAGAAAACCCCTTGATTGGTGAAGCAATGAAAGAACCTTTTTTTAAATTACCCTGTTACAATTTGTGTGCCCAATTACCATGTAATTGGCCCTATGCAATACCTTAAGGGAACTGAAATTGTATTTTCCTTAGCTGTAAGCAATAGTGTGAAATAAACTTCTGAATTGTATAAATTTGTTGATGAGCATATATAATAATTACCACTTTTTAGATTAAATTGATGCACTAAACTAACTGATCAACAGTATTATAATTTACTAAAATGGAAAAATGTAAATGTTATATTAAAATGAATTGTTATTTTGATTTTAAAAAATGTATATTTAAGGGTAAACAGAATGCGTTACACAAAACATTAGAATTGAGCATGTAGGCCTTAAGCTCAACGTGACACCAAAGTTTTAATTTCAGTTCTCCTCTTCCAAACAGTATCAACACGCGTCAGTGCGACTCAGGTTCTCCCCACTCCTTTACGCTGTTGTTTGTATTTTTCATAACGTCTAAGTGTAAATAATTAATGTGCGTGCAGTGAAACCTTAACCTGAGCAGCGTCCCACCTGTTGAAGACACACGACTTATCTAACCTATATTAGGCTAAATAAAGATAACAAATTTCAGAAATAGAGTAATAGAATAATAGAAATTAATTGAAATTAAAATTACATATGGTCAATAAAGACCTGTAAGCGCATGCAGCACATGTAATACCTAATATTTTAAATTTAACGTTTTGCAGTTGGCAGAACCAGCTATTAATATGCATCAAATGATTTGGCATGAAATATGAAAACATGAAAAATAAACATTTTTGCGCAGAATGTTTCATCACTGCACTTTTCCATGTTTTTGCAGTAAATGTTTATGGGAACTTGATATCCTCTAACCGCAGAACGAACTCGCTGCAGATGGCTGTGCGCACATAGAGAGATCCGGCTCTCCTCGGCATTTATCCCGTTAATAATTAAACGCAGTATCATTATTTTATCCTCTGCCATCAAGGGTGCGGGTTGGGATTGGCTAAACATATTGTTAGTGACAGCATTCAGGTTGTTGACGTTCATAAATAATTCAAGAGTTCTATTACTAATAGTACCAACTTTATTGCAAAAGATAATAAAAATATGAATATATTAACTTCTGTTTCAAAGCAACTGGGCTTGCATGAGCACATTCTCTTGGTTTAAAAAAAAGATAGACTGGTGTCACCAAGATGAACAAAGGCCTTGTGACACATCGGCGCGCGCGTTTATGTGTGTGTGTGCGCGCGCGTGGAGTATTTCTTTAGTTCAGAAAGTGTGTTTCTTCTCAACAGGTCCTCGGGGACAAGGTAGGGACCCGCGAGCGCTCACCAGCTGACAACGCGTGCCCCACTGAGGCTATCCAACACCTCGGCCCACGAGCCATCCAACAATAGGCTGAAATTAATGCACACTTCGCTATTAACAAATCTAAGAAACACCAAATAAACTAGAGGGTATTACAAAGAAAAGAACACAACTTTTTCCAAGGGTTACAAACAAACAAAAATAGGCAAAACAAACGAAACTACAAAACATTCATAAACGAATACATTTATTTACCGCTTAACTAATTAAAACGCATATGTTAAACCGATAACAAAAGATGTAGGCCTATTTTTTTTTTTCCAGAGGCCCAGTTGGTAAAAAAAACAAAACAAAAACAAAAAAACAGATGCAGATGTTTTTATGTATTTCTATTCAATTTAGATGAACTCCCGTTGTATGAATCCAAGTCATTTTTGATCAATTTAAAAAAATAGAAAAATATTCACGCAACAGAGCAGGCTTAAATTTGTATGTTTTGTATGGTTTATTTGTAAACAAATAAGTAAAAAAACAAGTTTATTTTTGTTTGCATGTTTTTATTTCCAAAGTCAAATAAAATAACAAAGAATGGCAAAATGACTGCTTAATATTTCTCCCATCAATCTAAACGATACAGTTACAAAAAGCAAAACGTAAGAATCATTTGAGAAATAAATAGGCTATATGAAAAGGAAAAACATCATTTAATCTCAGCCAGTGAAAAAAACAGTCACACAAACTTATTTTAGCGAAGAAAAAAAAAATAACTTAAAAAAAAGGCAGCAATGATGGCTACATTAAACTACTTGTATAAGGTTGGCAGTACTACACTAGCAGACAAAGCACATCTGTATTCTGGGAAGGTTTAGGGGAACAAAGAAAAATTACAACTCTGGAAAATCTGAAGCCTCTGGCCCCTATATTTAAAGTGCACGTTATAAACTTTAGAAGTTGAAAAAAATAATAATACAACTTATCAGTTAAAACAGAAATCGGGAGACATTTCAAATCATTTCTAAAAAGTAAAAAAAAAAAAGAAAACTCAAATACATCAAACAGTAGCTAATGAGGAAAGTTCTGATTTTGTGGAAGACAGTTTTTGTTGGAGGGACGTGGGAAATGCCCGTGGCTGTGCTGTGCGCGACATGGCAGAGGGGTCATCCACCCACGTCTCAATAAAAACTTAACATACTTAGATAAATTGGAATAATCTTTATATTGGCAGAACCAAATCAGGCAATTTTCACATACGTTGATAATTAAACAATCGATGAAGAACTCGTAATCGCTTTTTTTTATTTGCAAAATTGAAAAAAAAGAAAAGCTTATTTCCAAACTAAAAATCCAAGATTGACACAGTTTACTAAAATTTGGTCAATGTTGTTGCATATAGGCTATAGGTGTATTTATTCATAATTTAGTTTGAATGACACAGTGGGATTACGGTGGCCGGGTAGCTTGAGTTCTGACATATCATCATCTTCACTTGAGTGGAGCTCCACTGCCATTTCATCCGAGTCACTGAAGTGGGAACGAGGGGAAAACTCCCCGTCGCTTCTTGGCGACTCTTTCCTCCCATTCCCAAGTGAGGATGAGGGAGAAGGGGGACACATCGCTCCCTTAACTCTGCTAGTGGAGTGGATTTCTTGGAATGAAGAGCGGAAAGGCATTCCGTTTATTCGAACAGGTATGGTATCACCAGATAAGGGTAGAGCCGCCGCTGTTCTGCAGGTAACGGAAGCCGATTGGGCTTCCCTGTCTTGTGCGCTTTCAAAACCATCTGCGGGTGAAAGCAAAATGTCACCCTTTTGTGAACCGCTGGAGTTTTCATTATTGCTGGAGGACGCTGGACCTTGGAGCAACTCGGCCAACGCGTTGATGTAAATCTGCGCCATCTGCAAAGTTTCGTATTTGGAGAGCTTTTTGTCGTTGTCAAAAGCCGGGATGACGCTGCGCAGCTCGTCGAACGCGTGGTTTAACCCGTGCATGCGCCTCCTCTCACGCGCATTGGCGGCCACCCGCCTCTGCTTCTGGATGCCGCTGACTGGCTTGCTGGATGGAGCTCTCAGTCTCGCGGGGGTTTCTTCTTCGGGCCCCGAGATGGTGCTTTTCAGGCGACAAAGGTCCCTTACTTTGAGCGAGGAGGAGGAGGGACTCTTGGCAGATCTTCTATGAATGGGAGGGCTGGGATGTCCCGAGGACCCAGGGGAGCAACTCTCTGAAACAAGTGCAAAAATCAAATAAATTAATATAATGTTACCAAGTTTAAAGAACAACAAAAACTAATAAAACATAACACATGGAAGAGTTCTTAGGCCTATCTTTAATTAGTCAAAAACCATACAACATATCTAAAATGCGTAAAAACATCTAAATTAGGGCAAAGTGACATTTTCTACCTACGCAGGGTCTCAATCCCTGCTGGCGGATGCATGCTGGTATAAAGGTCTCTCACCATGGTAGGAGCCAGTGCTCGGGCACGGCGAGTGCCGCAGGTTGTCGGGTGAGCTGGCGTGTGCCGCACAGGTGCCAGATGCGTCGCTTAGCCAGGCGCGTGGGTCACTGCCGCTGTCCACGAGCGTAAGTCCGGGGTCGTAGCGGGACGCCTCGAGCTGCCGCTTCCCTCCCCTCTCCAGCGCCCCTGCTTCCACCTGCAGTGCAGTCAGGGAAGCAACCTCTCGCGCGCCTTTACCCCACTCCTCCACCGTTAACATGTCCATGTCCAACACTTCCAACAAGTAAAATAATTAAAATAAATAAATAAAGCAAAAAAAGTTTTCCTGTATCAGAAAATGTCCCAATAACGCACAGCTCTTTCGCACTGTTTGTTTGTATGTGCCTGTATGTGAGGCTTCAGGTCGCGTGCGGGACTCCTTCTCTGATGTCTCAAGGCGCTGGGTCTGCTTAAAAAGCGGCACGCGTCTGGAAGCCCCCCTCCTTGCGTTGGTCGCGTGTTCACGTCCAATGAGAGGTCTCGGTTAAAAAAAAGCCCGAGAGAGGTGATTATGGGTCGTTTAGGCGGGACTCTATGATAACGTTACGATTTAGGGAGCGTTTGACGCTTGCATGATGGGAACCTCCCACAGGACGCACGTGTGATGAGCTAAGTAGGGAATCCTCACCTGAACCAATACTGAGCCTACGGCATCTCAGACATGGATGGGGGTTGGACAGAAGGAAAGAGAGGTGTCTCGAAAAGTTCAACAAGGTCAACTGTCCACCCTGGTTAAAGAAAGCGAACTACTGGTATTACGCATGTGATTATATGGTAAGAAAAGAGTAATAAAGGAAATCAATATCTGCAGAAGTTGGAGTGCAATGAAAATTAGGTATTGCAATATTTAATAACAGTTATTAACACATTTTTAATACTTTGTGAAAATCTTAATTTAACTAGATTGTATTTATTTTTAAGAGAAACATACGCAGGTCACAAAACTTCTTAAAAGACAATAGGATACCAATAATGTGTTCTGAAATAAATGGGACATAAAATGCCACAATTGTCATACACAGATTTTTACTACGAGTCCACTCATAACATCATCCAAAATGCATTACACTTAATAATAGTTGAAGTATAGTAACTTTGTGATGCACAAACCCAGGTGTTGCGCTCTGTTTATGTAATTTGTATAGACATTTATGTGGATTTACTGCTGTATTTCACTTAAGATCTCTTAAGAACAGAGAAATTGCGTCTGCAAGTGGAGAGCATGGACAAACGGTAACTAGACTGAAAATCTGAGCAAGACATTAGAAATGAAGACCCACCTGCCTGAGTTTTAATCATTTTCATCATTATTGTTTGCCTATTCAGCATCCACCTTCTCGTTAATCACAGCTTGTAATGGATCATAAAGGAGAAGCCCGCGCATGTTTTCCCCGTTTGACATTTTTATTGGTAAAAACGTCCATGAATTAGATTAATGTCACAGACCGTCCAGAGTTCCTCATATAGTGTTTTATAAAGCCAACAAATCAACGAGAAACTTTGTGGCGATCCTAGTTGTTTGTCGTTTTCTCTTTATTATAATTTTTTTTAGGCCTATACCTTTTTAGAAATATGTTATGTTTGCTAAGTTTGTAAAAACGTGCTCTCGAAATTCATATATATATATTTTTTACCCTTTTGTAATTTAGTGCATTTTTTATTTTTGGCCAATAATTTAAAAACAACTTAAGACCATTTAGAAAAAGTGTGCTTAAAAGAATTTATAATAATAAATAAAATATGTTTATCTGGTTCATACTGACCACGATTCAACTTTTTCTAAGGTAGCTAATATATCCGTTCCTAACTGTTTAAAACAATAAAATAAATCAGCATTTTATCCATTGCACGGAAAGTTTAACTGGTTAAAGCAATTATCAACCTGCAGCCGCTACAGCTTAAAATATGTCAAGGACTGGCATTTAACACCCTCATAAGTTCAGTTTTACAGTAACCACCAAAAAAATTATATTGCATATATCATGCAAGACCTATTTGGAATTAAACCGTTTAGACTTAAAGTTTTTTTTGTGTTAAATTTGGGATTAGTAAAATAAGGGAACCCTGAAGCAAACATCTAAAGGAGGTTAAAAAAAGGCGAAAGTATTTGCTCTTACTTAGGCTCGCGCACTCATTGTGAATTCAGGAAATCCAGGATCATCTTATGTTTCCATTATCCTTTTGTAGTTGGTCTTAGACCTTTTGATCTGGCTCACGGAACGCCCTGTCGGCGAGAAAAGGGCTTCACAGCGAACCGAAACATGAGCCGAGTTCTTGCGCCCCGGACGGGCTGTGGCGCGCAGGGAGCAGGATAAAGAAACATACTCATGGCACACAAACTCAGACACATCGTTAAATACATCTGATTATCCAAAGTTTTTATATGAAACAAAGGAGGACTCGGTAAACTAGAAGTCTAAATGCGCTTAAAATAAAAATAAAAGGTAAAATACAAATCCCAGAAGCCCCTTTTTTACGCACAATCAGCAAATCTGAGACGCAAACCTCTCATCAAATAATACGTTTTCTAATAAGCCCACTAGTTGATAATTAAAGCTGGTAATTAAGACGAACTGCTTCAGTGGATTTATGATTAGAAGACTACAACTGAAAACTGGAGTTTTTAATGGAGAATAGTTAGAGGACAGATTCGACTTTATCCATTAACCTCAGGTTTAAGTAGTATTTGCGTCAGATAATCTTATAAGAAAATCAAATTTACATTTTAACAGTTGGTCAGATTGTGCCTAATAGTTGTATCTTGGCACATAAACCCCATAAGTAGGCTATAAAAGACAAAATATTTCAGAGAATAGGTCGAACAATTTTAGAGACAGTCTGACCTCAGTCTTTTCTACTTTTTATGCATTTATTCATCATGGGGACATCTTTAGAGGTTGAGGTCTGGCGCCGAGCGCTCGCTCCCACCTCCTTTCACCAACGAAGGCCAGGCTCCTGAAGCTACCGACAGGTTGGATATTGTAGCTGGCGATTATTAAAGTGTCCCGGCCACAATGGAGACTCTATGTTCCATTGGTCACGGTGAGGGGAAGCTCCTTCAGGGGAGAGAGAGGGACGGGCTCCCATTCCAATGCGCAAGAGGAGTCTGCGTGCTGCCCCCTCTCATTCCCATCTCCCTGGAGACTGAGGCGCGCCGGGCACGAGGCGGGGAAGTAGGCTACCTTATAATAATCCTTCAGAAATCCTGTAAATACAAATTTAAGACCGCCCCTGATGAGATGCTTCTTTGCTAATGCACTTTATCTGACTCCGATTCAAAGTCATGAACTTAGAACATAACGAATAAAATCGAGTTAGGGTGCAACAAAAATATAAGCAAATATATATATATAAAAGTCAACTACACGACACGCACCATAGTATGGCCCTTTTAAAATCTCAAATTCCCTTCTATGGGTTGCTTCAGTTTACTTTTTTAGACAGCTCATTATTATATAGTGACGCTGCTATATCCTTAGGCTGCTGGAGGGCATAATTACCAATTTCCCCCACTTCGCTTCATTTTTTTTATTACCCTCCTTTTATAATTTGCTTGCTGTTACTTCAACTTAAGCTTTATGATCACTTTTTTTCTCTAGAAGCTCCAATGAGGGAGGTTACTGACTTCTACAGTTACATGTTGTCCCTACATATATAGGCCTACTTGCTCTTGTTTTTCAGAGGTAAGGCTCTTTTCTAGAAGGCGCTAGGATGAGCTTTTAATACAGCTAACTATATGCATGTATGTGTCCTTCATTCACTTGACTTGAAAAAAGGTCCTGATATGCTTATCTCTGCATTGCAGCCTTTAAGGAGTTGCTACTTTTCAGTTCTATTTCAGATGGAAAGTATTTCTCCATCAATGCTTCTGTCAATTATTTTTTGGCTTATGTTCTGTCTCTCATGTACAAAGCCCTAGTTAACCAAGCTCCCTCTTAAAACAGGGATCTCATTTTACCTTATATTCCTAGCATTTCACTCTCAATTTGCAGGTTTACTAGTGGTTCCTAGAATTTCTAAAATGACATTGGGAGGCAGATGTTTTAGTTATCAGGCGCTTCTCTTGTGGAAACAACTACTAATTTACACAGGGTAGACACCCTGTCTTCTTAAAAACATAGCTTAAACCTTTTATTTTTGCTAAAGCATGTAGAGTGGTAAATGTTATCCAGAGCTATATGTATTGCTGTGCTGCTAGTATAGGCATATGGAGGACATAGGGACCACCTTTCATCACTCTGTTTCATTCTATCTCTATTCTCCCATTCAGCAGTATTTGTTACCTCAAACCTTGACTTTATGTTCTCTCTGCTTTTCACAACATGGTAGCTTAATCTGGCCTGTTTTTTTTTTTTATGGCTGTGACACCATCTTGATCCTGGAGAGAAATATAAACTTTGCTGCTGCAATCAACCCCTTTGATTATAAATGATAGAGTTGGGCCTATGTTTTAGTGTTTGGTCCCGTTTCTCTCATAGCTATGAACTCAACCTTTATTATTAGCGGCTGTATGTGCTCCTTTTCATCCCTTTTTGATATGAAAACTGTTGTAGAGCTTGTCTGCTCAAGCTTTTTTTCCTATAAAGAGCCATATGTGAAAAATATTTAAAGAACAAGGCCACTATGTTCTTTTTTTATGCCTGCTTTGCACTCCAAGAACTCGATCTCGGAAAAGAATGCTTACACTGATCCTGGCTCTGCTGGAGCTTTCTTCCTGTTTATAGGGATTTTTCCTCTCCACAATCACTGCATGCATGTATGCCTGGATTGAATACTTCAAGTCAATGACCTGAAGTAATTTACGGTGTTTCCATAGAAGGGGGAAAAAAAAATCTGTCTCTATGATTTGAACAAACTGACATTTAATGAGTCGAACTGCATTAAATTAAACTTGATAAGCAATTTTTGTATTGCAAATATCTTATTTCATTTTAGCCTATACTGAATTACAAAATGTAATTTTTTTTTTTGCAATTTAGAGGCTGTTATCCAGAACTGTGCCAATATGACCTAAGCTGTACTAAAGGTACCAAGGCTCTAGGCTAGCAGCCCACCTGAAGAGAGCCTGATCTCTCACATCAAGTAGAATCTGTATTCAATATATTGTAAAACACATTTTCCCGAAAGCAAACACATAATGTCCCAATATGCATGATAAAACATCTCCAGGCTCCTTCAACCAGAAAATATCTCTATAATGACAAAACGGATCTCATCTGAAAGGCAGAGTTCATTGTCTGTATTATGAACTGTGTGATAGTTACTTCACCATGCAATGCTTTTACTATGGTTATCATGAAGATTATATTACTCTATCATGTTAAAGATACCTCGATTTTGAGTGTTGTACATACGTTTGTCAACAATGGTTGGTGAGGTTGCTTGACGACCCAAATGAAGAGCTGAGTGAAGCAGAGATAAGTTCTGATTGATTTAATTGGGTAACTGAGGCAGACATCCAAATACAAAATATACAAAATATAAAGAACCAAAAACCTTCAGGGCAAAACTTAAGTGGGGAGGCAGAGATGAGTAAACAACAACCAAAAACAAGGAAGCAGCACTGAGTGACTGCAGACGTGGAGTATTTAAGGGAAACAGAACAAAGGATGGACTAATGAGCTGAATAAGGAGCAGGTATGAGTGGAACTGGCAAGAAGAAATCCAAGGGGAAAGAAAACAAGCACAAGGGGGCAGCAGAGAGTAACTAAGGACTGCTTGAATATAATGGAAAACCAAACAAAACAGATAACAGAAAACTAAAAACTCTGAGTCACAAATGGGAAGAACCATAACAAGGTTGGGAGAGAGAAGTTGGAATAAGTTACTTTAATTTAATTTCTTTTTAATAAAATTTAAAAAGGTATTTGCATTTAAATGAATATTAAAATAAACAAATTTTCCTGCTAGTGTCATTATTCAGGAACTATATATTTAAAAATAAATAAATGAAAGTTGCCTCTTTATTCCGAAGTCTGAGTCTGCTTAGTAGCAAAATTCTAAATGTCAGAGAAACAGCTTTGTACCCATAATTTATTATAGTTGCTCATTTCAGAATATCAAAGAATAGAACTGGGGCCCCAACTTAGCCTATCACTGCTGTTGTTATACATTAACAATTTCATAAGTGCAAGACTAAGCACCTAGTTAAATTTTTTTTTTAATGATTTTTTTTTACCTTAATAAAGATCATAGTTTGAAAGCTAATTAAGCTATTTCTGCAAAAATTATAAGCGTCATAGCAAACTTAACCTGTCTTTAGTCTCTTGAAAAGTCAATGTAACTTTTTTCCAATATAACATGCTCTAACCAGCATCATTCTAAAGTTGAAGTAGGTGAATCTGGGATATCTGGTTAAGCTAAACAGCGCCCCTGTCTGGTAAATAAATGCTACTTCAGTATAATGTTCCCCTAAACTCGACAGGCTGACATTTTCAGTTATCTTGCAGTAAACTGCAGTAGAAAATCCTTTGGAGTTACAATGTTTCCAAAGTAAGAGAAGGTGAAAATAATTGCGACATTAAACATGGAACGTTTGACATATAAAAAATATCAAACCTTAACTACATTTATTTAAAATGTTTAATGCAGAATTTACATGCAACGTTAAATTAAGTGTCTGGCCTTTAATCTACTATTACTAAAATCTGTTGGTGATAAATGCCAGTAATTCTACTTTTATAAAGGTAAATAAAGTTTCTTCAGCATTGGTTTGACAATTTTTTTTATTTGCTCTGGAGGCCAATAAGGTTGAAAGTTTCCCTATAAATTAGAGCCAGAAGGATGTGTTTAAAGGCATTTGCACAACTTGGCCACCTTAATAAATACATGCCAGGCTTTGCAAAAAAAAAAAAAAAAAATAGTTTACAGTTTTTAAACAACAGAGCAGACATACCATTGCAAGGCAGTGTAACAGTGTGTGTGACTTACCAGTGTAGTTTTTACTCACCATTAAGATATCACTTGTAGAGAATTAGGCAGAATCCTGGAAAATAAGGATCTAATAAGGACAACAAACACATCCCACTGTAGAAAACCTGTTTATTAGACAAATTATACACAGAAAGCTTCGCCACTTGTAACAGAGGCCCCAGTTTGTTTCAGTTTTTGAATATTATGCAACACATACAACAAAATAGGCCTATATTAAATACTGTACATCATAAATTCTGGAAAAATTATCAAGTAAATCCTGTCGTTCTATGTAAAGAAATTAAAAATGTTAACAGATAGCTAAAACAGCAAGTTTGTGCATGCTTTCTTTTTAGTGAACTTGCCATGTATTGTCATATAGCCAGAACAAAAAAACAACAAACAAATCAAAGAAACAAAAACAAATTTAAAACATGGTTCAAAAACGAAACAAACAAACAAAAAAAAAACAAGCAAACCATTAGTGTGTATGTTTTTGTTAGCCATGGGCAGGACGGGGAGAACCAAAGGCAGTAACTGACCTGCTTAACGCAGCACTAAAGCTTAACATGATATAGTATTTTCCTTTTTGTTAAACAAAAATAGCATCAACATGTAAAATATACATTTTCATTATGTCGCTTTCATTTATACTAAATAAATCTTTTTAAACGTATGTGTCCTATTTGCCATTTCATAGCCTGACTGTAGTCTAATATAAGAAAAGAAACCCTAACAATGCTTGCTTCAAAACACAGTGGCTTGACTGAATTCTCTACGCACAACAGTTTGCAGATTTAGCTAAAAAAGGTAAGAAACCCAAACTTTGCTCTACACAACTAACATGACCAATTATTAATAAAGTGTTAGTTAAAAAAAAAAGGTTGGTTCCATTTTGCCCACCTGCCCTTTAACCCTCAAAGTAATCTACAAAAATTCTCATCATCTTCTCCACACCAAAAGAAATGCACCTTAATGGTTTTGTTTTAATTAATTGGCACTTAAAAAAGAAAGTTATATAAATAGTACCTTTCATGTAGGTTAAAATGACGTTGCCTTGACAATCAGTCCAAGAATGATTTGATGTTTCAAATTGTTTCCAGTAAACAGCAGATGTATTGGGTTTCCTGGAAGTTGGTAGGATACCACTAGTTGGCTGTCACATAATATTGAAAACAATGTAGCAATGGCTTTGCCCCAAACACAGATTCCACTTCATTTCAGCACTTGAACCTGACAAATTGTGATGAATGATTCTTGGATTTGACATGACTGCAGATTGAATTTATAGTCTAAGCACAATAGCTATGGCTGCGCTAAAAATTTAATCCCAACAGAAAAATTAAAAGGCATAATTTTGAGTGATTCATTGACAAAAAAATTAGGGACTACAGCGATCTAAAGCAGTTGTTGCAAAGTTTCCTAAGAGAGAAAGGAAAAGAAAACAAGTAGACAGCTCAGAACAATGTTCATTTTTTTGTACTTCCTCACCAAAACACATTCCACTCAGGAAAATCTTTTTTTTTCTGAAAACAAAACTCAATAAAAGACATATAATAAGCATTAGCTTTGTAAAGTCTTTTAGGTTTTCATTTTTTTCTCACTTTTTTGTCTGCTTTTTTTATGAATGTTAATTTCTCCTTTACATCTGAGAGTCTGGTAGGAGAATTTCACCTTGACTCTAAAAGCAGATAGCACAATAACGGTGAGCAAAAATAAAAGGTAAGATCTACATACAATCACTTACAGGTCTGTGGGCACTGGTACAGTGCAGAAGGTTTGACAAAGAGTTTAATGTGCATCAAAGTGGTGAAAACAGTTTCAGGCTGATGCACCAAAAATGGCAGAAGTTTAAAGATTGATGCACCAAAACTGGTGGTTTACAGTGACACGCAGTTGTTCTGTCATGGCATTTCAACAGTTTCCCCACTGATGCACAGTGGAGGCATCAGTATATGTTCAGCTGCAAGGTCTTATGTCTGGATCAGACTCCCCAATGTGGACACCATCCTGGAGTTGCTTTTAGATTCAAAACCCAAGGCATTGATACAACACTACCAGTGAAAACTATATTGAGGAGAGCCTTTTAACAGTGAAAATACAAGGTTAAAATTGAGATACTTAATCATCATTGGCCTTTTCAAACCCCTTAAACTTTAGGATGGTAATATAAATACAACTTATGTGGTTTATTTTCATAATATTAATGCCTCGGTTTTCCTAGCAAATAACACCACTGGACGTCGTTTCATGGCCAATGAGAGCTACAATCCTTTACCAACAGCAACTCTAGACCTTACACAGATCATTTCTTTGTGTTGAAATAGTTTTTGACTAAACCCAACAAGAGGGTGTTCATACAGCAAAAGGTGTCAGGTCATTTCAGCATTACATGAGAAAGTCCTCATGTCATTAAACTAAAACATCAGTACAAAAAAACAAAACAAAAAACAAACAAAAAAAAAACAGGTCCCCTCTTAGATGCAACTCCCAACTGAACCCCCCAAACATACACAAGAACAACAACAATAAAGCAGAGATGCATCATCTGTTTGAGAATGAAGAATACCCCTTCAGACCTACACCCCTCCCATACAAGTTTACGCCCCTGGATACTCGAGCAGAAATGAAAAACAGAAAAAACATATTCCTGTTTACATGTATATACCTCTTACTCTTTAGCCTAGCCACAACATATTTGTTCAAACACCCCACAACATACTGAAACCCCTTCTTCTTCTCACTTCTTCTCTCAAACCAACTCTATCCATCGCAACACCTCAAATGGAGGTGCCCCTGTCTGGATCATTTCCATATCCAAAATTGGGTCCTGGTCCTGTTGGCTGGTAAGGAATAGAGGACATAGTTTTAATGGGGCTGCGGAAGAAGCCACCATTTGGGGCTCTCTGCCTAAAGGGGCCAACCCCACCAGTTCGGTGGTCCTGGAGACCTCCACCAAAACCAGAGGAAAACCCAGCGGCGGCTTTGGCAGACAGGCTGCGGCTCAGGGTCTGGATCTGCTCAGGGATAAAGGTTGTGGTGGTGATGTGCGTGTTGCGGAAGTCGCTGATCTGCTCGAGGGCCTGTCTGGCAGCAGGAAGTGCATCCATATCGAGGGGGGTTAAATCGACGGAAGAGGTGGAGAACTGCTTGTGGGGGCTTTCGTCCTCGGTGCACAGACTGTTAACCCTGCGGTGTAGGTGCTCCAGGTCGATCTCCTTATCGTCCTGGAGTTGGGGAGGGATGGGAAGAAGAGAAGAAGGGAGAGAAGGAAGTGACAATGACAAATGGATAGAAACAGGAGAGATCAATGAAAGGAAAAAGTGGTATAAAAGTATTGAGAATAGAATTTGTATGCATAGTTAAATGATCGATTGATAGAAGAGAGAAGAACACGTGGAAAGAGGGAGATGGTAAAAAGATAGCCAAGGTAAAGGATGGATATTTAAGGAGGTGAGATAGAGGTAGCATGATGTAATTTTTAGCATATTTAATAAATGGAAGAGTAATGCAGGAAACAAAGCAGAAATTTAGGAGAACCAATGGGGTGTAATTGTGTTCAGCAACAAGGATGTCATCCATCCAACCATTAAAAAAATATATCATAAACAAGTGAAACCAAAAAGTTGAGTAGAGGTATATGCAAATGAGTGAAGGATATTTAAAAACGATTGAGATCAAATTATTTAAAAACCCAACATGGAAAAGCAAATAATGCGAATCAACAACGTCAAGTGATTGTTTGATGGTCACAAGGAAAAAAAAAAAGGAAAAGGTGACAGGAAGTGGGAAGAGCAAACAAGAAAGGGGGGGGGGGGTGATGGAGGAAGGGATAGAGAATAATTACAGAAAGAAACATACACACACTTCTAAAAGGTCTTTAAGGGAGTGCAAATAATCAGGAATGGACAGAAAGGACACAGTGCTGTGCGCTTTGCCATTCCAGGGTATTGGTTTTCTATTGAGCAAGCTTGACTAACTTTAAATTTCAAGGGTAACTTTGTAGATAAATGCTTAACAAATCCTTATCACTACATTGTATTATGGCCTTTGCCTTAAATTTACTTTGGGATCAACATCCCACTTTCAAGTGAATTTGCTTAGGCCATAATTCATTACTGGAATTCCTACAACTTGAATAGTATCATACAGTTACATATATTTACAGTTATATACATTTATTAATAAACAATCTAAGACAACCAAAACAAATAGATTTACTTGAACTTTAAATAAACTTACGGTATCAGATACATTAAACTTACTACAATGTACACTTATGAATTTATTCACATATGACTTAATTGCTTAAAGGCTGTAAAACTTAGTGAAAGGTGTTTCATGCTTTTACTGCAAAAAGAAGGGTGAGTATGAGTGTGGGGTGGGTGGAAGGGTCAGTTTCCAATAAGTGAGAGGTGCATATTAAGTGGAAGGGAGGCTTGGGTCAATAGTAGGGGAAATACAAACTTCTGCTAAGTTTCCAAAATCACATTTTCACATCTACCACAAACAGTTCAGGGCAAGGTTTTCAGAGTTGGGTCAGACATAAGTTGGTTGGTTGGTTTGGTCTTAATAGAGACAGAATTTGGGTAAAAGTCAGAAAGGATTTTTGATGGTGGAAACCACAAGACTGGGGATAAACAGATATTTACTGACCGTTTCCTTTGGATCTGGGGGCATGTTCAGCTGAATTCTCTGGCCCTACTCACAAGCAGAACAGGGGAACCAGCAGTCGCCCCAACCAGTTACCATCTAAAGAAAGACACTATTGGAGGAAGGGTAGGACGAAGGGACTACTTGTGTGGAAACTAGGCCCGCTCTGAGTGTGGGGGAAGGAATCCTGATGGAGTGGTGTTGTAGACTGGTACGGGCAAAAATACAGGGAGGTGGAAGGTAATATTGAATCACAAATAGTAATTTTGTTTTCAGTGAGAGGGAAAGCAAGGGTGGCTATGAAGAGAAAGCAAAGTGGCCTGGAACAATAGAAGATTAAAGCAGCAAAACCTGAACTTTTTGGTATCTCTCTCGATAAATATAAATACATATTTATATCATTTTTTAATAAAGTTATATATATATATATATATATATATATATGTGCTCCTCTTTACTGATGTCGGGAAAAAGGTAGAAACTCCCACATAAATTGAAGCACAAGTGCAAATTTCTTTTATTCCTATACACTGTTTTACTTTTAAAGGCAAAGGATTAATTATAAAAAAGAAAACCCAAATGGATCAGTAAATCTCTCTTGGCTTACATGAATCTGTATAATATATGAAGTATATCTCATTACAACGTTTACATACTATAAAAACCATGAGAATTAAACTGTCTACTGAAGAAGGGCTCTCAGTCCAAACATAGAAACAGCCCCCTCTAACGTCAGCAAGGCATAATTGCATATCTAGTCATCTGGCAACATACCAGGCAAACATACTTTGTAAAAGAGGTAATTTTCCTTTCAGCTTTACTACATCATTACCCTCTGTTTCCTGATAATTCCCCTGCGCAAATTTTCATTCATGTACAATGTTGTCTTCAAGCTTTACTAACCAAAGATTTTATTTATCTTCTATTGAATATATAACCTTGGTGTGGGAGGTGATGTTGTGAACGTGGTCATTCTCATTTTGGGGGTGATCTCAGAGGGGTTGGCTGGTTCGAATGAGTGCTGCACGATTAACGCGCAGGGAATGTCACAGCATGCTGGGGGCTGGTAATGGGTGGCGGTGGAGCCAGCCGTGTTGGTTGCGTTCGGGGTCTGGTTTTGGGTCTGACCGCCCAGTGAGAGGGGGTGTTCGTTTGGGCTGTGGGGACAGGGATCAGCAGCCTGCATGGCAGATGGACCATCCGCATGTGCCTGGTTTTGGTGCGTTGCATGAAAAGTTTGATCAAATTTGGGTTGAAGGGGAAGAGACAGAAAGGAGAACGTGATGTGCACGTGATCATATGTGTGTTTTGCGTGTAAGAGGTGGGAAGATTAACACAAGTTCAAACAAACAAACAAACGAAAAATCAAAAGCACAGGCAGACAAAACAACAGGCGTGCCAAGGCAGAAAAGGATAAGTGACAGACAAGATCGGGCAGATTGAAAGATGGTGGGTGGACGAAAGAGAAGTAAATTGGAGAGACAGATGGGTGGAGGGGGAAGGGGTGAGTGAGAAAAAAGACACGGCAGTCAGTAAGCACACACATTTAAGCAGGTCGCTCTGTGTTGTGTCCTCTGAGAGAGACATTCACACAGTTGTTATATACCTGGAAAGGGGAGATGTTTAAATGCCATTTTGTATTGCTCTCTCCCCCTCGCCCGCTACACCCCTCAACACAGAGTACTTATCTACAAGAACAAAACAAGAAGGCAATATGAGAGCTTTGAGCCACAGTGACACAGTTCATTCAATAGAGTTAGAATGAGAAGAGCTGGCATTTTTATTCAGACTTTAAAAGGTTAGAATTAGCTTTGCTTTTGTCTTCTAAAAAGGACATGGATTTAATTAATGAGGCACATGAGAATTGCCAGCTCTCCTCAGACTAAATCTGCACGGACTATATGAGATATAAGATATGATCAAATCCACAAATGTTATCATTATGGAAGAGTTCTGACAGTAAGGAGTTAAAAAAAATATAAGATTTTTGAATTTAAGTTATGTTCACGCCTACTAACAGAACTCTTCCATACCAAACTCTGGTTGGACATATATAAACAGGCAAAAAGTGTTGGTAATACAGCCTTTCTGAATGAGATGAGAATCTTCTAGAAATTTCTCATCCAGAGTATTAGAAGCATCCCAAAATACAAAGAATGTACATTTTGTTCTTGTATACTGTCCCTCCAAAACCAAAATACAATCAGTTCAGATGTTTCTTAACACATCCAAAGTAAAAGCGCCTTTAAAATAAATAATTTTATAAAGGTACTGACAACAATATCATTTTCATTTTGCTTCCAAAGAGTCTAGTGTTTTTCTAAACATTTCTAGTTAATTAGGCAAATTCTTAAGGCTTTTCCAAGTGTTGTACATTGATTAAAGCAACAATTAGGGGAAGAAAGGTAGAAGTGTTACACTATGGCCATGCCCAGATGTAGCCTGGTTTGGGTATTTCTGACAAACCACATTGAGACGGAGGGTCCCATTCAGACTAAGCCGCCACATGTGAGAGCAGCCTCAGAGAGGATACATTTGAAGCCGTCCCCAGCGAAACCTCCATCATGATACCCCTGTCACAGGTTACAGATTGCTATGTTTGCCTGTGTAGACCCCACAACCATTCAGATGTATGAAACAAGCTACAACAACTGCAAGCCTCAGAGATGCAGTTGTGGTTAGGAATCTGTCACCGAGGCTTTTCAAAGTACTGTGGATTTCACTTACACATTTTTTCCTCTCTTTTGTCAGGTTACATAAGCCCTGTTTTCTCTCTCTGCTTTCATCTTTTGATTCTAACTCATTTTTTTGTACTTTTATACGTGTGGAAGTTACTGCAACACCTACTGGTGTGTCATAAGTATTATGTGGTCTTATTTACACATAAACTTTATATATATATATATATATATATATATATATATCTTTTTTTTTTATTCAAACATTTATACTTTAAATATGCTTTACTGATATATTATTTACTGATTCAAACCTTTTAGTGGAGTCTAGACCTCAGCCTTAGTAATCAAGGTAATATTAGGAATGTCTTTGTTAGCAGAATAATACCTTTTCAATGTTCATAAAACTGTGTCTTCATAGGTGTTTAAATTGACTAAGTGTTCCAGTTAAAAGCTCCTAATAAGATGTCTAAAGTGTAATTTAAAAGTGCTGTATTGAAAAGTTTTCCATTATTCGTACTTCTGTTTGGAAGCCATGCTGACACCAGAATCAAAATAATGTTAAAACAATTCTTCTTTTCAGGTACAGACTGAAAGTAAGGGAACGAGCTGTCAATCACCAACAAAAAAACGTTGAAAATTTTGAAGTATATATGGAATCAGGACTCCTTGGAAGCAGAGTAAAGAGCCAGAAAAGACTGAGTACTATTTGCAGTACTGTATGTTCTTAACTACAAATGTATTTAGAATATAAAGGCTCCTGAAATGTTTTCTCATGATTCAAAAAAATTTCAAGAAGAATATTTCCATCCTTTTTATAATGTACTTGTCCACCTTTCACAAAAATGACTTAACTCCTGCACAATGATCTCCCACATTAGCTATCTCTGTCTGTG